AAAAAAAAAAAAAAAAAAGAGCTGGGGCGGGGGATTTATTGGCTCAAACAACTGAAAAGTAGGTGTTCAGGACTCTCTGAATCTATGTTCAACTATCATCAGCTCCATCTCTCAGCTCTGCTTTTCTCTATGTTGGCTTTATTCTCAGACTCTCCATACTGGTATTTTATAATTTCCAGGGGAAATAAAAATGTTTCCCTTTCTAACCCAAACTGAACCAAACCCATTGCCGTTGAGTTGGTTCCGACTCATAGCGACCCTATAGGACAGACTAGAACTGCACCATAGGGTTTCCAAGGAGCGGCTGCTGGATTTGAACCACCAACCTTTTTTGTTAGCAGCTGAGCTCTTAACCACAGCACCACCAGGGCTTCTCCTTTCTAACAGTGATATGAAAATCCTAGAATTAAGTTTCATTGTCTCTGCTTGGCTCCCAGTTCATCCCTGAACCAGTCACGTGGTCAAGGGAAAGCAATACTCTAATTGGCCAGGCCTGGTTACCGTCTACCATAGTAGGAGTGGAGTTTCCTCCCTCAGGAGTGTATGGCCTGAGAATGTGGAGGATGGTGTTCCAAAGGAGATTTAGAATGTTGTAATCAGAAGAAACCAGGGACTAGAAATGGGGTAGGCAAACTATTGATGAACAGATGTCCACTACAAGGAATGTATATATTCCTTCCTCTTAGGAAAAATAGTACTTAGGAAAAATCTAGGAAGAATCTTCCAGAATCCTTTTGCACTCTGACCACTTCCTTCCTTCCCCCATCCTTTTCAAAGGCCGCCCTGACCCCCCATTGGGATTAAAGGCCGTGAGCATGACCCCACACTCAGTGGGGCTGGAGTGGAAGCCTGGCTTTGATGGGGGCTTGCCACAGAGGTTCCGCATCAGGTAGGTCCCAGTCAAGGCAGGAAGAGGTGGCAGCCAACAGGGCTGGGACCTCTCCCTGAACTGACTGCACTCCCTGTCATGCAGATATGAGGCCATGGGGACTCCAGGGTACCTCTACATGGATGTCCTACCACCCGAGGCCACCACCTTCACACTGACTGGGTTGCAGCCTTCTACACGTTACAGGATCTGGCTGCTGGCCAGCAATGCCTTGGGGGACAGTGGACTGGCTGACAAGGGGACCCAGCTCTCCATTACCACTCCAGGTGGGAAGGGATAGTCTGGGGCAGGTTGGAGAATTCTTCATAGAATTTATGGGATGGTATGGTAAAGTAGGTACTAATGTTATTTCACATATGAAGAAACTGAGGCCCAGAGAGAGGTTAAGCAAACTGCATAAGGTCACACAGCTAGCAAGAGGTAAAGATGAGATGGCAGCCCAGGCAGATGAACTCCACAGACCAGTTTTTAGCTACCATACTGTCTGAATGTGATTAATAACACAAGAAAATTAGAAAATAGTTTGAATTGAATGAAAATAAAAACAACATATAAAAATGGTGGGGTGCAGCTAAAGAAGTGCTTTGAGGGAAATTTATAGCATTAAGTGCTTATATTAGATTAAAAAAGAAAGTCTTCAAATCAACACTCTAAGTTTCCATGTTAAGAAACCAGAGAGAGAAGAGCAAATTAAACCCAAAGTAAACAGAAGGAAGGAAATAATAAAGGTAAGAGCAAAAAGTAATGACCTAAAAAACAGAAAAACAATAGAGAAAATCAATGAAACCAAAAGCTGGTTTCTTAAAAAAAAAAAAAAATCGATGACATCGATAAATCTTTACTCAAGCGGATCAAAGGAAAAAGGAGAGAAGACACAAATTATTGATAACAGGAAAGAAAGAGAATATTGCTACAGATCCTGCAAACATTACCTGAGGATAATTAGGCAATATTATGAATGACTTTATGCCAATAAGTTAAACAACTTAGATGAAATGGACAAATTTCCTGAGTATATGGTAACCCTGTCAACCCCTGGTTCAGAGAAGCCTGGGTTCAAATCCCAGCTCTGCCACTTACTAGCTGTGTGACTTTAGGCAAGTTACTGAACATCTCTGTTCCTCAGTTTAAAAAGACTAAGATCTATCTCAGGCAGCTGTTGTGAAGATTAAATGAGTTAAAACATCTAAAGTGTTTAGAACAGGGCCTAGTACATAGTAAGTGCTACGTAAATGTTGGCTTAAAAAAATGCGCTGGGGCAAGGCATACTCATCCTGTTTACTCTGCCCCATAAAAGCCCCCTCTTTCTGTCTAACCCTTCCTGACAGAGCAGCCATTTTTCCCTACAGAGGTGAGGACCCTTTCCCATCCCCAAAATTTCCCTTCTCTCTTTTTTTCCCTCTCATTCCAGTCTTCTTTTCAAACATGAAAGCATAAAGTGCTGTATTCGCCTCCCTTGCTCTAGAACCTATACCTCTCTTAAGGAATTCTGAGATCCCAACATATTTTTTGTTAACCCAGCAACTGGTAATTTGGGTTAAAAGGGCCTTGCACACCACAAAGCACTCATCAATCATTATTATAGGCATTGTTGTTGTTGTTAGGTAACATCGAGTCAATTCCGACTCATAGCGATCCTATAGGACAGAGTAGAACTGCCCCACAGGGTTTCCAAGGAGTGGCTGCTGGATTTGAACTGCCAGCCTTTTGGTTAGCAGCCAAGCTCTTAACTGCTGCACCACCAGGGCTCTATTAGTTTTGTTAATATTATTGCCATTATTCTTAGCAATTTCCAGCTCTCTTTGAAATATTCCTAAGAATGCACGAACTAGTTCCCATAAGTCGCTAAGTGGACTGAAGAGCTTAAGAGGAGGATGAGAAATATTTAAGGCATATCCCAGATTCTCGGCATTAATTCAAAACCCCTACGCCCTCTTCCCAGGCCTGGACCAGCCTTCTGGGGAACCCGACTATCAGCCTCCCACAGGGCAGCCTGCAGGTGAGTACTCAGCCCATTCTCCCACGCTGGAGAATACAACCTTCTAGTTTCTGGTCCTGCCTCCTCTGCCTTGTGGATACATCCCTTAAGACTTAACTCTGCCCCTGCAGTCCTCCACCCATATTCTTAGCTCTTCCTGTTGCCCAGATTCGATAAATGTTTTCTCCTAGCTTTCGCAAAGCTTACAGCAAAGGCTTACAGCAGCAAGGATTTGTTATTTTTCATGATTCTATGAATCTGGCTGAACAGTTGTGGTCCGGTCTGGCTTGCCAAATCTCTACAATTATCTGGCAGCCTGGCTGGGACTGGTGGTCTAGGATGGCCTCATCCTCACGTGTCTGGCCACTATCTGGCTCTTGGCTGGGACAGCAGAGATAACTGGACCTCACGTCTCTAATCAGCCAGCACCACCGCTTGGCTTTTTCACGTATAAGTGGTCACTGGGGTTCCAAGAACAGCGATAGAGGGCAAGCTCTAATTTATACGCACTTTTCAGGCCTCTGCTTCTGTCACGTTGTTACCGAACACTAGAAGGTGGGTCCTTATCCGGCTCACTCAGACTTGCCAATCATCTGGACACCAGTCTTTGAGAAAGAGAAAGTAACCTTATTGCAATGTGAAGAGCAAGGAACCGGGAGGAAGTTCCTTAGATCCGGCTCCCAAGCTATGGGGAAGCAGTGCTTATGTGTGATTTGGGCAGAAAGATAGCAGCCGTGCAAGCATACTGGGGAAGGAAAATTCTAGAAGGACGCCAGGAAACAGGAGGTGACGTGGTTCTTGTTGGACCTCTCACTTCGGAATAGGGTCCGGGTGATGATTTTCCTTCTGATTCGTTCCTCCTGTTGCTGCGTCCTCTGTTGAAGTCAATTAGTGGTCATAGCTGGCCCTTCTGCGCGTGGGGGCGGGGGTGTGGGGGACCAACTCTGGCTTGGGCTAGTTTAAGGTCTAATGGAAATTTACTGGCATTTGTAGGGTCAGGTTACAACGTTTGCTAATATCCTATTGGCCAGAGTCAGTGTGGGAGGGAACTGCCAAAGAGTGTGGATACAGGGAGCGGAATTATGACAGCTCTTACAAACAATTCCCTTCAGAGCCTGACAAGAAGGTTGCAGGTGACAGAAACTCAGCTGTTGTCAGCAATAAAAAGCATTACTTGACTCAAGGAATTGAAAATTCCAAGTGTCACTGGATTCAGGTGCTCAAAATTTTCACCACGGGTCTGTTTCCCACCCGCTCTTGGCTTTGCCTTCATCTCTGATAGCTTCCTCCTCAGGTTCTTCCAGCAAGAAGGCCAAGAAGTCCTTCACAACTCCAGCTCTATTCCACTCCTTACCAGCCAACAGAGGAGTGTCCTACATGTTCTGGCAAAAGGCCTACTTAGGGTCAAATGCCTGTCTGAACCAGTCACCGTGGAAAGGGGGATGGGGTGTGTTTATTGGGCAGTCTGGGCCATGCGTCCACCATGGAATCCTGCTTGAGTCATACAGACCAGGAGTGTGGAGTGGCTGCTTCCCCAAAGGAAAACGAGGGCTGTTAGCGGAATTTGGGGAACAGATGCTGAGCAGATATTTACACAGAGAGAATTGGTCTTGGCCTCAGGGATATAGCAGAGAAGTCAGCCTGATATTGGCTGGGATGGAAGTTTGCCTGAAGAGGAATTCATCTGAGATGAAGTTTGACGGGTGAATAGAAGTTTGCTTGTGAAGAAAGCACGTTTTAGCCACAGACACTTGACTAGGCTGAGACTTAGAGTTGTGGTTCTGGGAACAGCCCGTGGTTGGTTTGTGTGACTGGAGGGTCCAATACCAGGTTGATGTGGCAGAGCAAGATCACAGTTCTTGAATGCCCAGCTAAGGAGCTGAAGCTCCCTCCTGAGTCCGTAGACAGGGCTCAGGCAGAGGTAGGACCTGCTGCTAATGGTTTGACTTGAGAAAGTAGCCATCTTCCCTGGGGTGGTAAGAAGGTGTGGGGATGGAGACTCCTGCCCATCTGCTTCCTTGACCTTGGAGGAGGGTCTTTGCTTGGCCAGGGATAGGCTTTCCCAGAGAGCCCCTCTGAAGGCTTAGGGTCAGTTGTTTTGTGCTGAGGAGTACCTTCCTGCCCTCAGGACCCTCGGGGCTGCCCCTGCTGCCTGTTTTGTTTGCTATTGGGAGTCTCTTGCTGCTTTCCAATGCCTTCTGCGTTGGGGGATTCCTCTGGAGGTGGAGACTGAGGCATCTTGCTGAGGGTAAGGAGAGGCCCTTCCCCTGCTAGGATGGTGTCTAAGGGTGATGGGGAGCCCAAGGGGTGATGCATGTTGAAGGTCTCTCCACAGCCAGGTGGACTGGAGGGAGGTCTCTGACCCCTTCTCTCCTATTTCCCTCAGGCACCTCGGAGAAGACGGAAGTGGGGTAAGTAGGGATATTGTTCTACAAAGAAGGCTCTGAATGAGAAGGTTTGGGGTGAGAGGGGACAGAGGGTCAGCTCCCAGATGCCCTCCACCTCCACCCTGGCAGATCAGAGGAGGACCGGGTCAGGAATGAATATGAGGGGAGCCAGTTGACCAGAGACCGGGACACTCAAAGCTCCACGGTGAGTGGCGGTGGTCCCTCCAGCCACACTGACAGGGAACTGACAGAGATTAAAATTCCACCATGATGGAGAAACCCCGAGAGTATGGCCCCTGGACACCCTCTTAACTCAGTACTGAAGTCACACCCTTCAACCAAAGATTAGACAAGCCCATAAAACAGGATGAGACTAAATGGGCACACCAGCCCAGGGGCGAGGATGAGAAGGCAGGAGGAGACAGAAAGCTGGCAATGGGGAACCCAAGGTTGAGAAGGGGAGAGTGATGACATGTTATGGGGGTGGCAACCAATGTCACAAAACAATATGTATATTAATTATTTAATGAGTAACTAATTTGCTCTGTAAACCTTCATCTAAAGCACAAAAAGATAGACATACAAATCCACCATTAGCTTAAGATTAATCACTGCCCTTTCCAGGAACAAGGGAGCCAGAGGATGGAAAGGATTTTATCTGATTTTTTGGGGGGGGATGGGGTGACAGGTCAGCACATCAGAGGCAGAGCCATATTACCACTCCATGAGGGACTTCAGCCCCCAGCTTTCCCCCATGCTGGAGGAAGTGCCTTATCCCAGAGGTGAGCCATGACTTCATCAGGTCTCCCCCACCCACACATCTGAACTGGATGCACTGGTAATCCCTTCCTTCCACTCAAACTCCAGGGTTCACAGGTCTTGAGAATGAAGATATGGCCTTTCCTGGGCCCCTATACAATGAGGTGGAAAGACTGTATGCCCCATCTGGGGTCTGTGGAGCCCTCTACGATGAAGTGCCGATGGTGAGGAGACTTGTATCAGCAAATATCTTTCCTGGCCCGTGCCAGAAACCCACCTCCTACTGCTTGTATTAGGGTAATTATGTTTCTGTAACAGAGGCCCAGCCATAATCCAGCAGTTTAAAGAAAATAGTCTATTTCTTCCTCAAGTAAGAGTTAGAGGTGAAAGGCCCTGCTGCCTGTGCATTTTCCAGAACCCAAGTTCTTCGCCTCACCTTCCTCTGTCATCGCCTAGCATACTGTCCTAGTCTGCATGAATGGACCAGGTCACTGGGGCTTTCAGTCAGTCAGAAAGGGAACGAGACAGTATGGTGGAGGCATAACCCTGCCTTACGGTCCAGGGCCCATGACGGCACTCATCACTTCTGCTCACATTTCACTGGTGAGAACATGGCCACACCTAACTGCGAAGGAGGCTGGAGAATGTCGTCTAGCTTGGCAGCTATACGCCTAGCTACAATTGTATTACTGGAGAAGGAAGAAAGAGTGTATTTCACTGGACAAGTAGCCGTCTCCGCTACGCTGGTTAAACAGAGAGACAGAATTTTTTGACTCATTCATTTGAAAAGCAAAGGTATAGAATTGTTTTCAGGCCTGGCTGGATCCAGGATTTCCCCACTAAAGATGCCCCTAGCAAGTCAGGTTTGTATGCTACCAGTTTAGTTGCTGTTGTTAGGTGCCATTGAATCGGTTCTGACTCACAGGGATCCTATGTACCAAAACCAGACTCATTGCCGTCAGGTTGATTCTGACTCGTAGCAACCCTACAGGACAGAATAGAGCTGCCCCATAGGGTTTCCAAGGAGCGGCTGGTGGATTCGAACTGCTGACCTTTTGGTTAAGCAACTGAACTCACCCACTGTGCCACCCAAGCTCTGACCTTATGTACAACAGAACGAAACTCTGCCCAGTCTTGTGCCAACTAGTTTAGAAATCCCTTAAAAAAAATTCCTCTTTTCCAGTAGCTCCAGAGTCCCACGGCTGAACTTATTAGCTTAGTTTGGGTCACATACTTATCACTGAACCAATCAATAAGGCAGGCGATGGAATATTCTAATTGGACAGGCCTGGATCAGTGCCAACCATGGCATCAGGGAGTAGAGCTAACCCCACTCAATCTGCTGGACTGAGAGTAGAGAAGGGACAGAGAGTCCAGAGGGAGTAAAGATGGTGGCTGGGCAGGCAGAAACAACAGAGAGGTATGTCAACCAAGTAACTCCCACCCACTACCCCACAGAAAGTGAGGTGGGACAGGACCCCTGACTTTCTATGTGGTCTTAGCTCTGGCACCTCTGGGCCAAGGATTTCCCTCTATAACACCGGGAACAACTTCCTCTGATCTAAACTCTCCACCAGCACGGAAATTAAGTGCACAAAATGCTGTCCATGTTGCTGGACCACCTGTGCCTCTAAAGCCCAGATGGAAACAGTAAACTTTTTCTGTAAAGGGCAAAATAGTAAATATTTTGGGCTTTGCGGGACATACGGTCTCTCTCACACTACTCAGCTCTGCCATTGTAGTGTGAAACAGTCACAGACGCTACATAAACAAGCATGCGTGGCTATATTCTAACAAAACTTTATTTTTGATGTTGAAATTTTAATTTCATGTGATTTTCAAGTGTCACAAAATATTATCCTTCTTTCGATTTTTTCAAACAATTAAAAAATGTAAATCAATTCTTAGCTCTCAGGCAGTACAAAAACAAGCGGCAGCCATATTTGAGCCGCGGGCCAATCTGCTCTGAAGTTTCCCACTCCAGAAACCATTTTCTCTCAATCCTAGAACAAAGTACATCCCCATGAAAGACCACCCTACATGGTCTTTTTTCTCTTCTATTTTGATGAAGAATATTTTTGGAAAGTCATCGGACTAACAGAATCATGATTCACATTCCACAGCTTCCATAGCTGATATCATGAGCTTTTCACAATTTTATTATAGTCCTGACATTTAAACTTTTTTCCTGAGAGACATATTGATGTATTTATAAATGAAATGACAGGATAGCTTGGACTGGCCTCAAAATAATCCAATTAGCAGGGACAATGGGAGAAGATAAAGGTAGAGGTAAATTAAGATTTAAAAAAAGAAAGACCTGTTGCCGTGGATTCCCTTCCAGCTCATAGAGACCCTACAGGACAGAGTAAATTGTCCCATAGGGTTTCCAAGGAGCAGCTGGTGGATTCGAACTGCCAACCTTTTGGTTAGCAGCCATAGCTCTTAACCACTGCACCACCAGGGCTTGAAATCAAGACTATCCAAGGGTTATTACTATTAAAGTTAGCTGATCGGAACATGGGCGTTATTCTGGAAGTTCATTATAATCATGCTCCGCTTTGTAAATGGTGGAAATTTCCCATAAGTAAAAGTTAAAACCCTTTTCCCCTAGGAAGTTGAGGAGGGGTACGTATCCCCTAAATCTATGATGATGACCCACAGGACATCTCACCATGGTTCTAACTGCACCTTTTGCCTGTCAGGGCCCCTATGACCATGACTGGCCTGACCACAACTATGAGAAGCCAAGAGGAATCTATGACCAGGTGGCAGGAGACTTGGACACTGCAGAACCTGATCCTCTACCCTTTGAGCTGAGGGGACATCTGGTATAAAAGCCTTCTCAACACCCTTTTCCCACACCCACCAAGACAGAGAACTCCTACAGTCCTCTTCATTCCTGTTCGTTCTATAGGACACGGAGGGATACAGGAGAAGACATGAATATAAAGGACAGAAAATGATTTCAGCTGGTGTCAATGTACAAACATGTCTCCTCCTGGGGTTGGCTTTGGAAACTGTCAGATGTTTTTATGGCTTTTCAAATCTATCACAAACTTCTACAAAGGGACACAGTGAATTGTAATAGACATCTCAAAAATGAAAAACTATTCTGGGTTTATTTATGCCTTTTGGGGTAAAATATTCAAAAGTGGGAAAATACATATTAAAAACTCAATTCATTTTGAGTTCAACTATATCTGAAGTAGCTAACAATAAGTGAAGTTTATAAACTATTATTATGTCCTACCTATCCTTGTTTTATTACTTTCTCCATTTATCTAAAACATAATGTATAAACTATGACACACATGTAAACTTAAATAGGTACTATCGAAAATAAAAGACTATCAAAAGAAGCTAGACCCAAAAGAGTACATACTGTATGATTTTATTTATATAAAGTTCTAGAACAGGTAAAACTAATCTATAGTGACAGAGAGCAGATTAGTGGATGCCTAGGACCCTGGGAGGAACTCTGATGGCACAGTGGTTAAGAGCTCGGCTGCTAACCAAAAGGTTGGCAGTTTGAATCCGCCAGCTGCTCCTTGGAAACCCTATGGTGCAGTTCTACCCTGTCCTATAGGGTCACTATGAGTCAGAATCGACGCGATGGCAAGTTTTTTTTTTAGGACCCCAGGAAGGGGGCTGTCTATAAAAAGGTATGAGGGAACTTTTTGGGGTGATGGAAACGTTCTATATCAGGATTGGGGTGGTGGTTACACAGGTGCATAGATTTGTTAACACTCATTGAACAGTACACTTAGAATGGGTGCATTTTATTGGGCACAAGTTATACCTCAATAAAGGTGATACAATAAAAAATAGGCTCTGTAATAAAGCAGCTAAGCAAGAGAATCCTTATTTTTTATACTGAATAGCAGGAAAAGATAACAGAGAAATCTGCCTATTTTGGGGGAGAATATGTTGTTGTTGTTAGGGGCTGTCGAGTCGGCTTCGTCTCATAGCAACCCTATGAACGACAGAATGGGACACTGCCCGGTCCTGTGCCATCCTCACAATCGTTGTTATGCTAGCCTATCGTTGCAGCCACTGCGTCAATCCATCTCGTTGAGGGTCTTCCTCTTTTTCGCTGACTCTCCACTTTACCAAGCATGATGTCCTTCTCCAGGGACTGGTCCCTCCTGACAACGTCCAAAGTATGTGAGACAAAGTCTCACCATCCTTGCATCTAAGGAACATTCATAAGTGTAATCTTTCTTCAGATCTCTGCTCCTACTTGATTCATCATTATTACCCAAACTGTTCAGTTGAAATGTGTGTCAATTTATTTATTTTTTTTAATCAGGGCAGACTAACCAATTTGTACACCACAGCACTTGAATATACAAGTACATTAGGGTCCAAACAACTTTCCTTTATTCAAAAGCTAATTGTATTCCCACTGGTAGAATTTTTATGATTGCATATTTTTCCCCTTTCAAAGAAAAAAATCTACAACATTTTGTTTCTACACTGGCTTAAGCAAAAAAAATGAATTTATTGACTGTTGTAGCTGACAATTCCAGAGGTAGTATTGGCTTCAAACACTACTGGACCCAGGTGTTGAAACCAAGCCACCAGAGCTCTATCTCTCTGTATCTCTTGGCTCTTTTCTCTGTGTCAACTTCATTCTAGAAACAGGCAAAGCTGATCTATCATGACAGAGAGCAGATTAGTGGATGCCTAGGACCAGAGGAAGGGGACTTCCCGTGGCAGAGTCTTCCTCAGGCAGAGTCTTCATTTGGGAGACATGAATGAGCACATACAGTTCCAGGCTGCCATCCCAAAAGCTCAGCAGCCAGTGCCTCTTTTGCCAATAGTTCCAGAAAGTCCTGGGGCTGTCTCTCATAGGTCCATCGCGGTTCTTGTGCCCATCTCTGGACAAATCACTGAGGCCAGGAGTTACTCAGCACCACTTGAACGACTTGGGTGAAGATCTCCAAAGGAACCCCAGGTTGTGAGATTCTTCTCTGTATCACCTGCACTTCCTACTTGCTCTTTGCCATTGCCTGAATCAGTGTAGCAGACATCCATTGCTTCTGTCTGCCAAGCATCAAGTCCCCCTTAATCTGATATAGATTAATGAGACAAATTCCTGACTACACCAAGCTCCTAGATCCAGCTGTGTCTGAAGTCAGGATTACTCCTGGGCCATACATTCCCCATATCCCCTTAAGTCAGTCTGAATGGGGTCTTCAGTTAACTGATAGAAAAATTAATGATTTGCAAGGAGCAGAAACTCACTCAAACAGGTAGATATAAAGTATATATATATATATATAATTAAATACTAAGGGACAAATGGCCAACAAGCACATGAAAAGATGTGCAACATCATTGCTGTTGTTGTTGTTACGTGCCGTCAAGTCGGTTCCAACTCATAGCGTCCCTATGGACTACAGAATGAAACACTGCCCGGTCCTGCTTACGTTGGTGTTATGCTTGAGCCCATTGTTGCAGCCACTGTGTCAATCCATCTTGTTGAGGGTCTTCTTCTTTTTCTGCTGACCCTCTACTTTACCAAGCATGATGTCCTTCTACAAGGACTGATCCCTCCTGACAACATGTTCAAAGTATGTAAGATGTAGTCTTGCCATCCTTGCTTCTAAGGAGCATTCTGGTTGTAATATCATTAGCTATTCAAAACCAAAACCAAAACCAAACCTGTTGCCATCTAGTCGATTCTGACCCTACAGGACCGGCCCATAGGGTTTCCAAGGAGTGGCTGATGGATTCACGCTGCCAACCTTTTGGTTCGCAGACGAGTTCCAGGCCACCAGGGCTCCACAAGAGCTGTTGTTGTTAGGTGCCTTGGAAACAGTTCTGACTCATAGTGACTCTATAGGGAGATGCATATCAAAACTACAATGAGATACCACCTCACACATTAGAATAGTAACAACGAAAAAGAAAGAAAGAAAATGGAAAACAACAGGTGTTGGCAAGTTTGTGGAGAAACTGGAACAGCCAGTGTGGAAAATAGCTTGGCAGTTCCTCAAAAAATTGAACAGAAAACTACCGTATGATCCAGCAATCCTAATCCTAGGTATATAACCAAAAGAAGTGAAGACACGAATGCACAGAAACCTGTACACCAGCGTTCACTGAAGAACTTTTCACAATAGCCAAAAGGGGGAAACAACCAAAATGTAAATGGATAAAAAAAAAAGTGGTATATACACACAATGGAATACTACTCAGTCATAAAGAGAAATGACATCTTTATGTATGCCACTACATGGATGACCCTTGAAAATGTCACGCTGAGCAAATAAGTCAGTTGCAAAAGGGCAAATATTGAACGATCTCACTTCTATGGAATAAGCAAATACATAGCAACCAAAGATTATTAGTGGTTACCAGGGATGGGAGGAAGGGGAAAGGAGGAGTTTTTGCTTAGGAGGCATTGAGTTTACATTAATAATGATGGTGGAATGATTTGGAAAGGGATAGTGAGAATGGTTGCGCAACTTGAAGAATGTAATCAATGCCATTGAATTGTACATGTGGAAATTGTTGAGATGGCATTTAACTTTGTCAGAATTTTCATTTAACAGATAACAGTATTGCAACAATGTTTACTTCATTATACTATGATTTTATAAGAGAATACCTTGTTTTTTTATTTGTTTTTATATTTTATTGTGTTTTCAGTGAAAGTTTACACAGGAAATTTGACAATTTCTACACAAATTGTTCAGCAACATTAGTTACGTTTTTCACGATGTGTCAACATTCTCTTTAATTGTGTTCTGGTTGTTCCATTTCCAGTACTCTAGTTTCCCTGCTCCCTTATCTTTTCATCTTTGTTTCAGAGTAATTGTTGACCTTTTGGTCTCATACAGATGATTTTTTTCCCTTTAATTGTTTTTATTGTACCTTAGATGAAGGTTTACAGAACAAATAGTTTCTCATCAAACAGTTAGTACACATATTGTTTTATGACATTGGTTAACAACTCCACGACATGTCAACACTCTCCCTTCTAGACCTTGGGTTCCCTATTACTAGCTTTTCTGTCCCCTCCTGCCTTCTAGTTCTTGTCCCGGGGCTGTTGTGCCTCACTAGTCTCGTTTTGTTTTACGGGCCTGTTTAATCTTTGGCTGAAGGCTGAACCTCGGGAGTGACTTCATTACTGAGCTAAAAAGGTGTCCAGGGGCCATTCATACAGATGATTTTTTTTAATGGAGCACTGTAGTTATGGACAGTATCCTTTATTTTGTGTGTCAATCTGTTATTCGGCTAAAAGATGACTTCGGAGGATAGTTTCAGTTCAAGGTTTAAAGAGTATTTCAGGGCGATAGTCTCAGAGGGTCCTCCAGTCTCTACTGGTCCAGTAAGTCCGGACTTTTTAAGAATTTGGATTCTGTTCCACATTTTTCTCCTGTTCTATCAGGGTCCATCTATTGTGGCCCTGGTCGGAAGGGTGGGAGAATGCCTTGTTCTTAAGAATGTGCACTTATATATTTACGGTAAGGGAGTATTGTGTCTTTTAACAGCTGACAAAAAAAAATTATACAGAGAGAGAGAAGGATAAAGCAAATGTGGTAAAATGTTGACATTTGAGGAATGAAAAATTAGGAAGCGCAGCTGAGTCTCACAGATTGTGGAAATCTGCCCAGCTTTTTTCATCTTTCTTTGGCCTCATGTTCTTTTGTCTGCGTCTCTCAGCACATTTCTTCCATTCTTCACTTGTATATATTTAGCTTCCCTCTTTGCCCACTCAACTGTTGCTTGTCCAGTAATTGGCTGCCCTGGTTTCATAGCACCTTGAAGCTCAGCAGCACACAGCTCCTGGACCCTGAACTTTAGTGCTCCCATACTGATGGGT